AACGTCCAGTGGCAAATAGTTCATGCATGTTTAGGACGAGAACAAATTAACAATAAATACAATGTAATAGAGCCCGTAGGTCGGTAAGATTAGATGCCATTGCAAGTCGATGATATATTGGATAGGGACAGAAATCTATCCTTGCAAAAGCCGTCTACGTATACGGACCCCTCACAGAATTGTTGCAAGGGTTTGACAATCTCTCTACACGGGGCATCGGGAATTAACGTCCCCATTCTGTCGGACGTAGCTGCGTACTTGTACATCCTGCATTGCCTAACAGACGCCCCACTTTTGAAAAGGTTTTACTAAGGATCGGAAAGAAGACCTGTAATGACTATATTTATATTCCACAGTCACCCTTGGTGGGAGGGTTGAAACTTGAAAACCCAATAAAAAAACATTGAACAAACATACGATCCGACAACATCATTTAGTAATCTTGTAATTTTATAAATTGTTTCAAATCTTCCAAATCCTGTATAAATATTTGTTTGAGCATGGCGAAAGTCGTCGGTGCACTCGAAAAAATGCTATGTGTGATGTACATTTCATCATGCTTTCAACAATATTAATCACATTGTATCGTAGAAGAAACTTTAAAACGTTTTTCATATATATTATGAAAACCTGAAAACCTTTTTAACATCGGCATATTTTATGCATTTCTGCCTATTATCATGATTAGGGGACGACCATTTGATATTCTCGGGGGGGGGGGGGGGGGGGGGGGGGGGGGCAGGAGGATTTGTTTTGGATGGGTTATTTATTTTTGTGGACCAAAAGGACAGATTATTTATTTTCTGCACTGTTGAAGCATGATTTTTCATTTTCATTAAAACAAGGGACTGATTATCTATTTTCACAATTATATTTATAATATTTGAAAACATACAATTTTTAAATTCTTAAAAAATAACATAGTCAATTAAGTCAATCAGAATTAATCATCATCCTCTGGAAGTTAATCTTCTGAATTGCAAACTGCATATATTGCATACGTACAAGGTATTAAAGCTGGGCTGTAACTAGCCTCTTTTAAAAGTTGTCAAACATTTTCGGCGAGCGGAGCGAGGCGAAAATAAAATCAGCGAAGAGTCTGGGGTTCGCTGAAGGCCCCAAGAAGCTATAGAAAAAATGGCGCAAAATCATGCATTATGCGCGCTTCCCAGACCCTTTCTTAATCTGAAACGCAAGTTCTGTATTAATTTTTTGACAAAGCAAAATATATAGATTCAGTGTAAGACTTTTAGTTTTTAGGGACAACATCAAAAGACCAACATGTAGGACAAAGCAAAACATGTTTCAGTTTGCAGAAAAAACCTTTTATGCCTGTCAATTATGTTTTTTTTAAATTAAGTTAAGAGGGGGCTGATTATCATTGATATAACTATGTCAAGTCAGTTTTTATAACACATTTCAATTACAACTTGATGTAGTTCCTAACTGGGATACAATTTAAAGTAGTTTGTAATAGACAAAAGGTCCTTAAATATAATAAAACTCAAGTTTAAAACATAATTACTAAATTACAAATAGAATGCAACACTATGAGAATAGTCATAAAGAAGGACAATCATTGAACAAAAGACAAACCCGGGAACAGATAAAACACAAAACGACAAAAATTATAGACAACCAACACTGAAAAATAAAAATAAATGAGAAACATGGATCTCAAAAAACAGGGGCTACGTCAGAGGGTGAACAGAACTTGCTTCTTGCAAGACACTTGCCGTGAAAACAATTTGATATGAAGACAAGCTTTTGTTTTGAAATTTCCAACATGAGGCATTTGCCTCAATGTAGTTACGGCCCTGTAATAAAAGTGAAGTAAATGTTAACGAGACAATATACCTCAAGTGAAATGAAACCCATTTTCAAACATTTCAAATACATTAATATTTATATTATTAAAAGATTTGGGAAGTTTTTCCCCAAAAAAATATGAAAAAAGACGAATTTTGGAATAATCTGGTCCACCTCATACTTCAGAATAGCATTTATAAAATGGCTTAAAAGACCTGCCAAGTTATTTTTAATACATTGTAAGTCAGGTTATTTATTTTCAAACTACCACAGAACAAACCATTCATTTTGTTATTATCAAGGCTGAGTTATTTATTTTCAAAATCCTCCTCCCCCCCCCCCCCCCCCCCCCCCCCCGAATATTACATGCCATCCCATCCAAATAATAACATCGTTAAGTTTAAAGTACGTTTTGTAAACATACAATTACCGCTCCTATTACGTTCGTTCGTCGAGATAGGTTCGTTCGTCAATATCCTGGTCATCTCTAATATGAAGCGAACGGTTAAGGTTGATTTAAGACGTGCATTGGCCTACGTTTATCTTCGTACAATGATTTGTATTTGCTTGATTTAGGAGTGCAAAAAACAAAACTTAAAAAAAATATATGTAAGGGTCAAGAATGGGAATGACGGATTTTCAACAAAAAGTCCAAATATATACATTAAATGATATGAGTAGAACATGTTTAATAGTCATATAACTTACACAAGTGTCTCTCCACAAGTCCAGCACACAATTCATCAATTTGATTTGTTACGATTCGTTTCTTGGATGTCTCCACAAAGTTCCGACAACCCTTAATGTTTTTAAACGTCTGATGGCGTGTTCGACATTAACTTGACATTCTGAAATTCTTCTATTTAGTTTTTTGCATTTTCTTTTTTTTTCCTTTTCGGTTTTGACTTATTTGGTGTCTCCTATCCTATATGGCGAAACAATTGGTGGAAGGTTGGCATAAATCTTATCACATAAATTAACACAGTTTGGAGGAAAATCCAATTCCAAGTTGGTTGCAATTCTTGGAAGAAGGTTGTCTTGCTGCGGATCGTTTTAATGTTCAAGAAAAACACTTTTCACGAGCCGTATGTGATTCGTATTGTCTTACTATCTGATATGAATGCAATTAATGGACAGATAGACGAAAAACGGACGGATGGACCCATCCACCCATCACTGTATACCGTCCAATTTAGAAAGCGGAGTATATAGTGAACATTAGGCAAAACAAAATGAAGGAAATCGAAAAATAAATTGCCCGATATATAATTTAGCAGGCTTTGCAAGAGGTGAAAATGAATGTTCCATTTCAAAATATCCTCCTGACCCAAAGATAATAAAATTAACTTCTCCATATGAAAGTTTAACGCCACTTTCAACAATATCTCAATGTAATCGTGGTGATCTGTTTTGATGGTGGAGGAAGCCGTGATACCAAGGAAAAGAACTGACAAAAGTTGATAGAAAGAAAATGTCAGTTAAAATGTAAATTAGAATAATTAATTCACACGTTTAACGTTTTTTTTTTAGGTATTGTCCCTTTTCAGCATTACATTAAATTGCCATAGTGACCTTTCTAGATAAAATATAAAGATAATCAAATTGAATACGCTTTTGTTTCATTCTTTTATTTGTTTTAATTGTCAAGTACACAAATTTCTAGTTTTTTTTATTAGAATTTTAAGCTTCACATTTCTCTATTCCAGAAAATAATATGAAATAAGGAGATGTGGTATGATTGCCAAAGTAAACAACTTTATTTCTTATGCAGCAAAAATACTGCAATCTGATTGGTTAATTACCCCGGTGTAAATAACACCCCACCCTTGTTCACCCCAGGATAAATAAAATTTGGCCAAAAAATTTAAAAAAAATTTTTTTGCCAATATAAAGAAGAAAAAAAAATTAAAAAAAAAAAAGATAAAAAAAAAATATATGTCAAAAAATAAAAATAAAATAAAAATAAAAACTAAATAAATTTGAGGACAAAAATTGAAAAAAAAAAAAAAAAAAAAAATTTTTTCCCCGAAAATTCAAAAGAACACAAAAATTTTCTGAATTTTCCCAAAACTAAAGAAAAAAGTATTTGACAATGCGCAGCAACATCGACTTTGAAATAATGTTACACTGGAAATTTTTTATTACCATTTTTCAATTTTACATCCTGATTTAAAAATGAGTAAAGGAATTGTTCATAAGAAATAAATTCGTTATCTTGGTGTAATCAGGGGTGTACGGAATTTGACACCTTTGTTGAAAATTCATACATCCATTCGGCTGCGCCTCAGGGTGTATGAATTTTCAACAACGGTGTAAAATTCTGTACACCCCTGATTACACCAAGATAACTAATAATCTACCAGAGACAGAATGACGTAAATGTTTGCAAGTATAGTCCATCGTATTGCCCCCAACAAGGAGCAAAACCCATCCCGAATAAAAGCTATAAAAGGCCCCGAAAGTATATTTTAAATAAATTTCAAATGAAGCAACATTTTGAACAAAGATTGATGTAGAGTAAAAAATCTTATTCGGATGTGATTTGATTGCAGTGTTTTTTTATTCATTTATTCTGATCCCTTTGCAGATTTTCCTTGTAGTCGTTCAACAAAATACATGTAGTAAGAAATGGAGGTATATTCTCACGTGAACATACGCGCTCACGTGGAAACTGTGCGTTTTCTAATTTTGTTAAAAGTAAACCCACATTTATTTCTGTACCAAATGCGTGTTAACGCTGTTTGCAATGGTATCCTGGATACACATATTTATCAATGACATGATCAAAGAAGACCATGATTCATTTTCAGGAAGGTATTTTTTATTGTTGTCGACAAACGTTTAAGTAGCCGTAGACTCTCAGTTATAGAAAATCTATCCATCCCGAGGTCCCAAAATAACAGAATGTAAATCCGGTTATTTTATCAGTAGTGAAATGCTTCATACTAAAATACGTATGTCCGAAGCAAGTCTCATAAAACATTTTTATCATCTATCATTTTTCCAAATTTAGATTGATCAAGAACAGATATGTGAATTTACTATCAATCATAAAAGTTGATCTTGAATATTATTTTTTTCATTAATAAATTTACTTCTAGAAAAATTTTGTCCTGCATATGTTTATATACTATTTAAGAAATGTACAGTACATTCAAATGACATTTGAAAATCATATAATTTTGTTATAGGTATATCAAAACGAAACATATCAGCAATTTAAATCTCAACCATACCAAATGGAACGACAACATTGGTGTTCATTTTGTCTTATTCCTTTTAAGAATAATTTGAGTTTAAGAGCTCATCTTAAAATTCATGCAAAACAACCACCAGTTCCCTGTAGTCTGTGTCCGTTAACATTTGTACATCATAGTCAATTAGGAAATCATCTCAGATATAGGCATTCGGATTATATCATCAACACGTTTGTTGAAAATGCTGAAACTATTTATAGAAAAAATATAACAGACATCACAACTGAGGTAGAATCTGATTCCGAATGGACAGAAAGTTCAGAGGAAGAAGACATTATAACAAGCAGTGGGGAAGGAGAATTTTCGGAGGAAAACTATGACATGATCGATACAGATTCTGAAAGTGTGGAAGTGCCCGTTGAAAACATTTCGAATGAAATAAAATACATATTAGCACAAAATGTGAATGATGCTTCTGACAATGAAAATCCCGTAAGCGAATTTGATCTGAAAGGAGTCAATACCAAACATATGAATAATTCAGATGGACAGCATGGCAATGTAACGAGTTGTGATGTTTCATGTCTTGGCAAATTAGAAAGGGAAAAAGCAGGAAGACATTATTTTAATGTCACAAGAAACATTCCTAATTTAGAAGATAATTCTAAACGACACATATTACTTCAGCACACGAAGTCGGCGTTCCTAAATTCAGATGACAGTGTGTGTACTCAACGACCTAGTTATAACTTCAGTGATGAAGATGCAGACCCTGATTTACGGTTTGTAGAAAAATTTAGACATTTAGATACAAATTGATTGTAAATTTTACAACACCACTTCTTTTCTGCCCTAAACTATGACTTCTTCGGACGTGTACATGTATGGTATATATCATATGAGATTAAATGAATATTGTGGTGTCGCTTGAAAGGATCTCTAACTTACGAGTATATATTGTTTTTTCTATTCTTTATCTTTCGTAAATGATATACGTTGAACTGTTAAGAATAAGTTTTAATCTTAGTATTTTACAAAATCATTTTTACATGACTGCTGTTGTCAACCTATGATTGTCAGATATAATTTAGCAAAAGAAAGAATTAAAGATAGCATAATCCCTCTCGCTGTCTTCAAAACTCATATAGGAAATCCTGTTAATACATATTTGAATTACGTTATTCATATTTTCAAACAAAATGTAGATGTAAATGACATCCAGACTTATCTATCAACTGTTGAATAAATTTAACTAACAGATCAATAGTAGAGTTTTCAGCAATTTTGCATCAAAACCATTCCCGCGGACACAAACATCAAAATGATGTTAAGGTCGTGAACGGATGCACAGTTTGAGTGCGTTTGTTTAACTGCAATATAAAAGATATTTGATCCGTATAGCTTCAACAATTGAGTGAAAGTGAACACTATTTTTGTTTAGGGGCCACTGAAGGACGCCTCCGGGTGCGGGAGTTTCTCGCTGCATTGAAGACCCATTGGTGGCCTTCGGCTGTTGTCTGCTCTATGGTCGGGTTGTTGTCTCTTTGACACATTCCCCATTTCCATTCTCAATTTTACAAATCAGATTCTTAGTTTATCTGAATATAATGCAATTTTTGAATTATGGATGTTCGCTACTCCATTTCAAAATAACAAGCCTTTTAAAAGAAGTATATATTATTAAATAACGGACCTAAAAAAGAAGAAAAAAATTTAAGGTCCGTGTCATTATTTTCGGGATATAAGCCAGTGAAAATTTGTCGGGAAATGATTCTCTTTAGTTTTTCATTAATTGTAATTAATAACATTGGCACCTTTTGAAAAAAAAAAAACTGTAAAAAATTACAAGGATTTTATAAGATTTTCAAATATGGCTTTTTTAAACTATATGTAATAAAATTGTGAAAAAGAAAAGTAGGGGTTAGTGGGCTAAATTTTTATTGAATCTACATGGATAAAACCAGAGGATTCAGAATATCTGACTAAAAGTCAAAAACAACAGGAGCAAACATCCTTAAGATGTTTATGTTAGTGAAAATAATTCTTTTCTATTAGTATTCGAAGATCTTTCGTTCAGACTAAGCTATGAAATTTTAGGGAAAACAAAAAAATAAGTTGTGGCAAATAAAAAAGTATAGCATTACACACCACTTGCACTAGTTATTTATATGTAGTATTGCGTTGGAAAAACTACAGGAGTTTCTTGCTGGTCCGAAATTAGGATGTACATAACAATTAAGATGTGGTAATCCTATGGTTATTTTAATAAAACCTGCTCTCTTCTTCTGAATTAAAAAAAGAATATTTGATCTTGATATGTACAGTTGAGGCAGCTAACCTGTACAGTATATGATGCTTACATAATTGCCAATTTATAAAACATGTCTTGCCATTAGTATTTTAACTAAAATACTACTTATTTAGCAAAACCTGTCGCACCTTTAGGTCCTCTATGCTCTTCAACTTCGTACTTTAATTGGCCCATTTAACTTTTTTTTTATTCGAGAGTCAATGATGAGTCGTTTGTAGACGAAACGCGCGTCTAACGTACAGAATTTTAATCCTGGTATATATGATGAGTTTATATAACTACAGTAGCTTATATTTTGCTACCTTAGGTTCCTAAGGTTCAACATAATTTGCTACTAAATTCAATTTTAAAGATGAAAAGTAAGCAGATGCCTGAAACAAATTTATTTCGTGTGTATTCTGCTAACATTTTACAAGCAGTATACGCTAAATGTGTTCTTTTTCTTCCTCACAGCTGCTTTTGCTAAGAAGATGTATCAACCAAAAGTTTTGTCATTTAGACATAACTTTATTCAGTAATTTATGCTCGGATTTGGCAAATATTTAGTCTTCTGAAAGGTGTTTTATTACTTAACAAAATTTGGACACAGATCAGTATATACAGTAATTGTTGGATTTGTGTTAGTCATGATAATTTGGGAAATTCAAACTGTGTTTGGCATGATATTAATAGTAATATTATGGAGATATGATTCCCTGTATTTGTTCCTTTTGGGCAGGACTAAAAAGTGGTTTTTTTTTTATCATTTCATAGTGGGGCAGCAATATTTATTTAGCACAGTCTTCCGCACCCACTCTAGTATCATTTGTAAATGATTAAGGTATAATGTGTGATATGTTTTGTGAGAAATTGGTAGTATGTCTCTCTTGTAGGGTTCTATGTAAAACTGTGTTCTATGGTGACAGCCATTTTGAATTTTAAGTTGACACAACAAACTCGTACCTTGACCTATAATGGTTTACTTTTATAAATTGTAACTTGGATGGAGAGTTGTCTCATTGGCACTCATACCACATCTTCTTATATCTATCAATATTAGTATCATCTTAGTATTATGCATTCAATACTCAATTTAAAGGTTTGAGACGGTTTCGGAAAAGAAGCTATTTGTATGCATTTTCTAACCAGTTTTATGCTTAATTATGTTCCAAAGGGGTGATTTTTAGATAGACACCACATCCTCAAAATTAGCAAAAGAATACTTCATTGTGCATTGGTGTATCATTTGGTTTTAATGTGTGATAAAGTTTCTGACACGCTGTTAGTATGTATTTCACATATAGTTCTTTTATGTTTTAAATGGTCTTTCATTTATTTGTTTAGAATAACAAAACAATCTCAAATAAGCATGTGCTCATTTTATACAAATAAGAAAATGTGGTACGATTGCCAATGAGACAACTCTCCACCAGAGTATTCTTAGTGAAATCATATGTGTGATAAGAAACTTCGTGTATGTATTTTTCACAGGGCTATATGCTATATAAAACAATTTCCACAGAGGCAGACCTTTTCAAATTGGGATAGGCACGAAGAACTTAACATAAGTGAAATATTATATATGGATCGTTCCTAAACATTCCCATTTCAATATGCCAAGCAATTACTTAGAAGATCCCTGTAATTTTATGGATTTAGAACACAATATTGAATCTATCAGTAATTTTTATTTTCCCATCCACACAAACAAAAAATCAAATAGTTTAAGTAATTTCAAATGAAGAATCTTGTCAGGTTAAGTTCCAATTGAAACAATATGCAAATGTTTAGGATTTTTTTTTTTATCTTTTCCAAAAAAAAATATCCCTGAGATTATTTGTTTATTTATTTATTTATTTATTTTTATTTATTTATTCATTTAAAAAATATCCCTGGGATTATTTATTTATTGATTTATTTATTTATTTATTTATTTATTTATTTTTATTTATTTATTCATTTATATATTTTTTTTTATTGTCCTGAGGCACTTCAACTCAACCCCATAAGGTTAACGCACGTGTATACTGAATACCACCTTGTCTATGATATATCTGTGGAATTACTTTATTTCAGCTATAAGGGGGAAAAGCTGAACGTATGGACAAAACTCAAAAAGTCAAAAGCAATGCCGAGAAAGATTTGAGATAGAAGAATTATAGTCATTAAGTACTAAATGTGTCTATAAACGACATGAAATTTTACGACCGTGTAAATCAATATTTTTTTTTTGTAAGGCCTAGACCAATGTCAATTTTTTGGAATAAAAGGACAAATAATGACGAAAGGTGAATTTTACAGTAGAGATATTGGTTCTCTTGGACGGGGCTACGTGTCAATTTAACCGTGAATGATTATTAAATAACTGTAATCAGAAGTCCATCGTCTTACCATATAGCGGGTTGCAGACTTCCTTTAGTAATGGACTTCTGCTTTAATAAACCAAATTTGGATGTTTTGATCATGTTGTGTGGTTCCGTAATTAAAAAAAACACCAGTGATATGACCAAATTTTGGTATCTGTGTAGAAAATATAATAAAAACTCTCATTTTTGTCGAGCCTGAGACGTCTGTCGCAGAAAGCTCGACATAGGGATAGTGATCCGGCGGCGGCGTTAACTAACTTCTTAAAAGATTTATATTTTAGAAGGTGGAAGACCTGGATGCTTCATACTTTGTATATAGATGCCTTATGTTATGAAGTTTTCGTCTGTCATATGTCCATGGTCCTCGACCTCATTTCATGGATCAGTGAACAAGGTTAAGTTTTCGTGGTCAAGTCCATATATTAGATACTATAAGCAATAGGTCTACTATATTTGGTGTATGGAATTATTGTAAGGTGTACATGTCTAACTGGCAGGTGTCATCTGTCCTTGACCTCATTTTCATGGTTCAGTGGTTAAAGTTAAGTTTTTGTGTTTTGGTCTTTTTTTTCTAATACTATATGCAATAGGTCAACTATATTTGGTGTATGGAAATATTTTACGATGTACATGTCAGTCTGGCAGATTTTATATGACCTTGACCTCATTTTCACGGTTCATTGCTCAGTGTTAAAGTTTTGTGTTTTTGTCTGTTTTTCTTAAACTACAATGTATAAGCAATAGGTCAACTATATTTGGTGTATGGAATGATTGTAAGGTATATATGTCTGTCTGGCAGGTATCATCTAACCTTGACCTCATGTTCATGGTTCATATTTCAATGTTAAGTTTTCGTGGTTAAGTTTGTTTCTTAGATACTATAAGCAATAGGTCAACTATATTTGGTGTATGGAATGATTGTTAGGTGTATATGTCTGTCTGGCAGGTATCATCTGACCTTGACCTCATTTTCATGGTTCATTGGTCAATGTTAAGTTTTCATGGTTAAGTTTGTTTCTTAGATACTATAAACAATAGGTCAACTATATTTAATGCATAGATTGATTGTAAGGTGTACATGTCTGTCTGGCATGGTTCATCTGATCTTGACCTCATTTTCATGGTT